CCAAATGCCGTTTTGCTGTCGAACAATCACTATGCTAGGCCACCTTGTCAGTGCTCAAGGCGTGCAACTCGATCCTGACTAAATTTGCGTCGTCTAAGATTTTCCCACAACACATTTCACGAAAGATGTACGGAGCTTTGTCAACCTCTGTTCTTATTTCCGGCATTTCATCCACAATTTCATCGACATTGCCCATCCCTTGACACAGCTGCTGAAGAAGGATATGCCGTTTTCTTGGGGTCCCCAGCAAGCCAATGCGTTTCACCGACATACTGCGGTGCTCACTTACCCACCCATTTTGGGTCATTTTTATCCTTCAGCGCCTACTCAAGTTCGCACCGATGCTAGCGAACACAGTATTGGCGTCGTCCTCGCCCAGCGACAACAAGGTCAAAAAGGTCAAAATCGTGTAATCCCCTACACAAGTTGCCTCCTCTACCCATCCGAGTGCAACTTTTCCATAACTGAGCGCGAGTGCCTCACTGTTGTATGGGCATTTGGAACATTTCTAGCGTATTCGTTTGACCACCACATTTCAGTAATGACGGATCACTACGCTTTGTGCTGGTTGTCCTACTTCAAAGATCCTTCTGGACGCCTGGGTCATTGGGCTTTGAATCTACAGAAACATGGCTTTGCCCTGACTTACAGGTCTGGTGGAATGCACCAAGATGCCGACTGTCTATCTTGCCATCCCATGGATCCCCCTGATCTGTCAGAGCACGATTGCAATGCCTGTGCCTTCACCATTTCCGATTTTACGGGCATACGTAGTGAACAACTCAGTGATGCCAATTTTCGGTCCATCATGCATGCACCGTCTAGCTTCTCACTACTAGGATCCTTGCCTTCGCTTGTTCACGCTCCATGACGAAATTCTCTACCAGCGCAACACAGGCATCGAAGGCCCAGAATTTCTTCTGGTAGTTCTTTCAACGCTCTGTTTTACTGTGCTCGAACAACTTCATGACGCCGCAACTGCTGGACATCTCGAAGCAGCCCACACGTATCAATGCGTACGGCTTCCGATTCTTCTGACCTGGGCTTTATCGCTCTGTGCACCAATACGTTGCATCTTGCGAGTCCTGCCAGCCCCGCAAGCATCCTTCCTTGGTGCCATCTGGCCCACTTTAGCCTAACGACATTCCAACAGACCCGTTCTACTACGTCAGTCCGATCTCACTGGACCATTCCCAACGCCTCTGACTGGGAATAAGTGTGTAGTGGTGGCTACAGACTATGCGACATGGTATGGCATTACACAAGCGCTCCCAACAAGCTGTGCTACTGATTTTGTGGACTTTCTCCTTCACGGCGTCATTCTCCACCATGGAGCGCCGTGTCAACTGCTGATCGACCGTGGTCATTCGTTTCTCTCAAAGGTCGTGGACGACATTTTTCGCTAGTGTTCCACACCTCATGAACTCACCACTACCTACCACCTGCAAACATATGGACTCACTGAGTGCCTCAACTGCACACTGACGACAATGCTATCAATGTATGTCTCCGCAGATCATCATAATTTGGATGCCACTTTACGTGACGTTTGCCTATAACTTGTCATGCCACGACACCACTGGCTTTTCCCCCTTCTATCTCTTGTACGGCCGACACCCCACTTCGCCTTTTGACACTCTTCTGCAGTCAGATATGTACACTCCTACTGAGTACGTTCGCAATGCAACTACTCTGGCTCGAACGGCCCGCCAGATAGCTCGGGATCGCCTTTCCGCCTCGCAGCTCTTTCAAAAGGATTGCTACGACACCCGTCACAGAGCTGTCTCTTACTCCCCAGGATTGTTGGTCTTGCTCTGGACTCCGTCTCGTCACATTGGTCTGTCGTCAGAGTGCCCCGCTCGCTACAACGGGCCTTACAAAGTCTTGTGCCAACTGACCAAGTCACCTATGAGATCGCCCCCTTGGACACTCCTTCCTCGTCTCTGCCGTCCACTGATATTGTACACATCTCCCACCTTGAGCCGTACTTTTCTGCGCAGGATCGCACGTTTCTTTAAGCGCTGAGACGGCGCTTCCAGGGGCGGCGGCTATATGATACAAGCCATGATGAACATCAAGGAATGGTCCATAAAGGCGACAAAGATGACGATTGAATGAGAGCTCGTGTTGTTGTTGTTATCAGGATGGCGCAGTGAATTTGATTTGGCGCACAAGTGGGAACACTGCCTGTGGCACGACATGTGACACAAGTGCTGAGCAGGGAGGCCCTCTGCCGACGCTTGGTGTAGTTTGTCTCGTTCGCTTTGTGCAGTGCAGATGATTTTCTCTGAGGAACAATTTCCGTTCATCTGCGCGAACCACGCGGTACGGATTTTTTGCTAACTATGAGTGCAGTGCTCGTAATTTTCCCTAAGATGTGATTCCCGTTCATTTGCACAACTGGAGCGGTACGGATTTTTCACTGACTGTGAGGAGTGGCAACTTCGCGTGAATGCGGCAAGCACTGCATCAAAGCAGTGCAAACGACCTCAGATTTAGGAAATGGCGGAGACGACAGTAATGACAAACCGCAAGGTGTGCCGCTGCTCTTGCTTTGTAATAAGTCAAGTGGAGTGGCGGGGAAGGTAAACTCATGTGATGTGCCAAGCAGCTGGAGGACGCTTTTCTAGGCTTCAGAACGACTGCAAAGCAGGCAAGCATTAGGCAGTTTTTCTCTGCTAAATAAAACGGCAGTGCAGCAAAACACAACCAGTTAAAGTGACTTGTATGCTACTTTTTTTTTCTCTTTTAAACCTGCACAAGAACAAAGATTAGAAACTGCTGCTCAAGAGCCGGTAAGTAGTAGTGCTTTTTCTGAAAAACACTCATTTTTCCCTGCGATTAGCACAACGTTGCCTATCTCGGAAATCGTTTCATCTCAAAATTTTCCCTGGTTTTTATGAGTTCGAGAGGTATTACTGTATGAACATGGCAGTGTCCCAAACCGTGTGCCAATGTATCGAAAACAACGCTGTCTTATAGTCGGTAGTCAGTTAACGAGGTGATAATGCCTGAAGCGTAAACAAGCAGTGTCATTTATTGTGAACCAGCGAGTTTGCCCAGACGAGAGAACGAAATGATAAAGGTGAAGCAAGCAGCCATTACTATTGAAGCGCTTTAACGAACATTTCTGCACGTATGCATGTTTCTCTCATGGTGCATATTTGTTTCCTTTGTTACCATCTAAAAAGAAACCGGTATGCCCTGGCCGCAAAGCACATACTTCGAAGTGCAAGGCAGACGATTTCCCTTCATCAGTCGATCTATCGGGCTGCAGTCTGCGTCACTTCTGGTCAGCTATTATGGGGACATTTTTCTAGCTTCAGTAAGAAAAACTGCATTGCTGGCGAGTTTCTTTTTTAGATAAGCAATTGCTCTTTGGAGGTGATTTTTGGCAGGTAGCATTAACTCTAGTTATACTGCTTATAAACGGGCTTTTTCATGTGTGCATGATTTCGTTGCTGTTGGCCTTTAAACCTTAAAAAAAAGAAAGAAACTATGCTTGTCAAGTCTGTATTTGCAAAAAGGAATGATTAGCTAATTTTTATTTTCTATGAATACCTAAGACAAATCAGGCTGCTGCGTAACCCTTTTTCTTTCACGTGGCACTATAGCAAGCTTGTCGTAAACAGCACAGATTTTGCAAGATGATGTTCAAGAGTGGAAAGCATATAAATTAAAACAGAGCATTGCTTTCGAAACAGGAAGAATTCCACATGAGCACCAACCTAAAAAAACAAGCCGTACTGTGGACTTTCAGCTGCACTGGCCCCGGAAATCAAGGGTTTTTAACGAAAGTATACTACTCCGAAACCTTCAAGGGCCCACATCAAGTAGGTTAGAGGCTTATACAGTTTGTTACTTTAGGAACATCACCATGATGGGGGCCCTCTTTGTTGACCACATCCTCTACACATGCCGACATTTCTGTTATTACATTTATGGCCTCTTGATGCAGCACTTGGCATCGTTCCCTGCTTAGTTTCTCAAGAAAAACTGAAAATTGGTTTGGATCAGTACTTCCAAAACGCCCATCACCAGTACCAAGACTCTAACCTCTAAGGTGACAGCTCACCTCAATGCAAATACCCAAATGTGCAAAAAAATGTCAAAACTCAGCATATTATTGTTAAAACCATCTTGTATTGTGCTTGATATGAACTTTCATTTGCAAAAAAGCCTGCTCAATTTTGTGATTTCCACGCCCAGATTGATGGCTATGGCCTTTTGAAGTTCACATGGTACCAGAGCATCGCCTTGGAGATAGCTTTCTCTACTCCTGCCACACGGTGGAGGCTGTAAGATCCTTGTGAAATACTTGCCAAAAATTTAATAATATTGATAATAGTAATATCTGGGGTTTAACGTCCCGAAACCCCCATATGATTATGAGGGACGCACACAGTAGTAGAAGGCTCAGGAAATTTCAACCATCAGATTTGCTTTAACGTGCACTGACACCACACATTACACTGGTCCCTACCATTTAACTGACATCCAAATGCAACCGGCATGACCAGCATGGAACCTTTGGACCTTCGGGTCAGCAGCCAAGCTCCATAACCTCCAGGCCACGGTAGCAGACTTCCAAAGGTTCAATGCTAGCGTATCTGAATCACCGCAGATAATAGGCATAAGAAAGAAAAAGAAGACAACCACCCATTTGTAACACAAAGCCACAAGAAAATCCGTACAGATTTCTCTGAGCCTTTTCTTTCTGAGAAATCCGTATGGATTTTCTTGTGGCTTCGTGCTACAAACTTCTTATCCCTTTCTTATCCCTTCCACCACCTAGCAGGATCCCTCAGAACTCATTTGCAAGATAATAGGCAGAAAGTTTGGAGAAAAATGCTATCCCGCATGCCGCCTTTACATTTCTTTGGACATTTGCAGTTCAGCGTGCTCTCCCGCCGAACATCCCCACATGTTTGGAAAACTGTCCCTGCAGAGAAACTCTCCATTCAGAGGGCAATGAACAAAAATAGCACAAAATAACACACCTGTCCTTAGCAGGAACAGCCAACGGAGTCCTAGAGGATGGACTACTGGATGACTGAGTGATCGGTGTGGACGAACGGTTGGTTGCAAGTGGTGGGGAAGCTAAGAGAGTGCTGGCACTAAGCTTGTCCGGAGTGTCCTTTGGTTTGATTATCAGTGTCTTGACACTTTGGCGAGGAGTAAATGGCTCAATGATGTCTTCTTCATCTTCTAGCCCTTCAAAAAGTGATGATGTCTGCCAACATAAAATAGAGAAAAAAAAACAAGATCATACTCATTGAAACACATCAAATTTCAATAAAACACCATTTGAGCAGCTATGCTTTACCAATACTTGTGTCATGTGGGCACCTCTGAAAGGCGATTGAGTCAATGGCCATCGAAACACAACTCAATCTACTGAATAGCTCTGTCACACTGCTGCACAGCTGTTTTGAAAGGGTGTTGAATGATTCAGGCATTTCTTTTCGCACGAAATTCTGGAGTGCTACATATCTTTGTCCACCGATAAGTAGTTACGAATACATATTTTTTTTTTATGTTCTTGAGCAGTGAAACTGAGGCGAGCAAAACAGCTAAACACCATGCACATTGCTGTCGGGAGTATTTCCCCTTCCAGATTTTATGTAGCAAAAATGCTTCATTGACTAATTCATAATGCAAAAACATATAGCTTTTAAAGCATACTGGTTAATTTTTTCTTTAGTAGTGGATACGAGCAGACTGTGAACAAGGAGGCATGTTTGCCATGTTTCCCCTTCGGTCACTCAAATGCCATCGAAGTTTCCATAGAATTGTGGCGTGCTCCGTTGCCTCCATAAACAAGTGACTCCAAAGGTTTCCAAACCACCCAAGTGACAGCACGTGTTTGACAGTGGAGTCGATAAACTATTGGTCTATTCGATGGCCTTACAAACACCTGTGCTGCATGGGTATAAGCCTTGCTGGCTTTCAAATATTACAACTAAAAGAGTGGGAATATCGAACCTTTCAACTACAAATACATAGCTTCGAATACTGAATACCGAATAACTGAGAACGGCGATTTTTTTTTCACCAGTAACCTTTGATTTTATTACATACATATGTTCAAAACAGCAGAAAATTTGTTATAGCGTAAAAGAATATTCACGCTTGCTGGGAAGCGACAATTATAGATAAATGGCTGAATTAATACAGGGTCAGCTTTAGTGCAAATATTAAAACACAATTGCAAGTACCGCAAACGCATTTACAAGTACCGCAAACACATTTACAACAGAAAGACGGCGATAGCAGTCCAGCTAAAGTGGTACAGTGCCATAACAGCACAGGGATAGCGCGGGGATACCAGAACCAGAACAAATATTATTCGCAATGTCAATATGAACTCCCACAGTTGAGCAGTGCTTCCAAGATTGGCATTTCCTATTATAAAGCTGTGAGGTAATTGAAGTAAAGCCAGTTTGCTTTTGTTTCTCATCTCTGAGGCCATACTTTGTTTGTTATGGGTTCTAAAGGAAATGATGACTGCTGATTCGGTGTGCGCTTTTGCAACATAGTCCAGATTATCGAATGCAGATCTGGCAGCTGTCCGAAATATTGGTCGTCCTTACACATTAGTTCTATGGAGCCATCGGCGGTGCTGCGCGGTTGTCTGAATTGCCGAGCATGTCCGAATGATCGGTGTCCGCTTTATCAGTTGGCGACTGTACAATGGACGCGGATATAACAAAATATCAGTTACAATAAAGTAAATGAATATAATTAACAATAGACATGGTGTTAACAGTGATAACAAATTTACAGACATGATAAACTTTTTTTCATGTAAGATGCAACTTTGTTATAACGAGGTCTGAGTGTACCCTTAAGGGCCCACTATTCCATAATTCTTTCTTCTGAGAATCAGCGAAGGACCCACTACGCGTCCATACAGCGAAGTGTGAATCTACGCAGCTGCCCACTTTGTTGAAACTTTTGCAGGGTGATAAAATACGTCTGCATACATTGCAATGGGTGAGCCTATAAAACACCCACTTTTTCTCAATTCACGCTTTAATGCCTGGTGTGATCCTACGAAGCTGTCATGCAGTATTGCATGCATTAAGGAGACTCCTTCAGCTATATAGCATGCATGTGTTTTCTTCTTTTTTTTTTTTTCAAAGCATTTTGAAGTAATAACGTGGCTTCGTAGGACACCTGCTTGCCCCACAGAGGGCCAAGGGTTAAAACATTTTTATTGGTACAGACAATTTCATTATTTATTTTACTTGCATCTTTCTGAACAGTTTTGTCACGTACAAGGTTACTTGCCCACAAGCAATGATTGAGACTCCATAATTTCTGTGAAACGAGCCTTTTTACATGAAAGCACACACCTTGCCTGCCTGTGCTCCAACCGGTTTTGGCCGTAACTTGGGTGCTGGCACGGGGGACACTTTGTAGTGAGAGGCGAGCAACGCCTGCTGCGCTGCTGGATTGGTGGGCTTCAGCAACTCTTCACGTTTGTTGGTCTCCTGCATGGAACAAAGCAACTGCAAACCCTTTCGGCTGACTAGCAAACAGCAGGACGCGAATTTCTTCACTTTTCCATAAAATGAGAGCTGCTGCATTGTGTACCACATTTAAATTAATTTAAAAATGAAAGACTTAAGTGAGCCATGATGGTGCTCCTGTCCACCAGAGAGTTTTCTACGATATTTGCTAGCGGAAGCTCTGGCGCAGCAACCATTCAGCCACCATGGGAATGGTAGGTAGTAGACCGATTTGCCTAATCTTCTGTGGCTTTGAACACACTCGTAGCTTTGTTTATTGCTACATTTGGCATTTGTTTTGTATGAGTGAATAGATTGTTGTGAACTTTATAAGCCGATTTGAATTGGTGGGACGAAAAAGATTGCGGTGGTCAAGTGGAACTGTTAAACATTTGCTGAACTTCGTATTGCAACAAAGCCAAATGGGGACAAAAGAATGAAGCTTAATATAATCTGAGTACTACCAATTATTCCCCTGCAGGCTGAGGTGCCAAGTGTTGCAGCTCTCATGCACACTTAAGAGTTCCTGTATATGCTACCTTTAGGTAGGTAGCAGAGTTCCGCATTTGTTTTCCAACGCCGTTGGCAACCATGCACTGTAGAGAAGCTGGCTGCACCACCAAAAGCGGTCGCCATTCACTTGGAATCTATCAAGTGACTGTCGTGCGCTCTGTAGCTCATTAGCTAGGAACTGGTGCCCTTATTTGCTTTAAATTCATGTCCTTAAGCTTCGACAACAAATTATTTGCGTGGATTCGGCACCATTTTCAAAAAAACATACTGAAATAATCAATGCTGTAGGCTTAGTCAAGTGCTCCATAAATATTGGAGGACCTATATTTGGCATCTGTGAGTTGCTGCTTATCTTCCATAGCTGGCGCTACTTGACATTGTGGCAGTGGCGGTGCATGCTATTCAGCACTACGCTACGCCTTCGCGCTGTGCTTTACCGGACAAACTACAGAACGCATTTGAGCACCCATGGTGCAGTCCACAAAGCAGATGTTTCTTCTATCTTCGCTGGTCGTTGACAGGCCAGGCACATCGACTGGCGATCAGCGGCACGCTTTGTCGATCAGTGACAGGCTTTAGCAAGCCTCCGGTTATAACAGAACGCAGCTTTGCTGCACAACTATGGTTGCTAACCAGGAAAGATGGCTGACTTATGCGCTACTTTGCTCCCGTAGGTAGAATATACAGCGACTCCATAAACACTTGCACCAGATTTCCCTCTTGTGTATTATACAGTCGAATCTCGATAATTCAAACTCGAAGGGGCCCGAAAATTTGTTTGAATTAAAAGAAGTTCGAACTAATGAAAGCTAAGTAAACGGAGGGCTCTCCATGCAGTGGCGCATGTGCATTGAGCTAACACACGAGGGGGAAGTTTCAGAAGACAAATTTATTCACAAATAACAGGTCATCTGTCATCAATCGACGTAATCGGTGATGCGCGTCTGCACACGTTGGCCTTGCAGCGAGCAATCAATTTCGCACGCAGCTTGCACAGCATGTCTACTTCGGCTTCAGCATTCTCCTGGCAAGGGAAGTTGCGCGCGGCTATGTCCAGCCCCGACACTCACAGACGACGACGACGACTGCAATGCTGCTACTACTCTCTGCGCCAATGCCGCAGCGTGTCCAGCACGTGACAAGAAAGGAGGAGCGTCTCCACGCGGAGAGAAGCAGATCGGCATTTGAGATAAACTAACACTCCACGGCAGCATTTTTTTTCTTTTTTCGCGGGTCCTGGAAAGGAGAAGGGTTACGTGGCAGGGATGGGAAAGGGAGAAGCGTGGCGCCGGCGCATGAGAGTACCACACTCCGCAACATTTTTTTTTCTTTCTCTCTCTCTCTTTGCACGTGGCGGTGGAAGGAGAAGAGTCTACGTGGCAGGGGCGAAAAAGGGAGAAGCGTGCACAGGCGCGTCGCGAATCAGCATTTGAGAGAGAGCAAACATTCCACCAGAGCGTTTTCTTTCCTTTTCCTTTCCTTCGCACTCAGCGTTGAGATGTCGGAGGTGCCGCCGCGGGATTGGGCGGGGTGCTGAGAGCATTTTCGAAGCGCGGTATATTCGAATTAACCGTCGAAAGTGCTTGCGCGTTCGAATTAACGAGCGTTTTCGCCCATTGAAATACATATAGCTTTGACGGGACCTCATCGTCAGTTCGAATTAACCGGAAGTTCGAATCAAGCGTGTTCGAATTAATCATATTCGACTGTATTAAAATTTCATGCAAGGTCTCCAAAGGCCACATAAAAAACCCCACGTGACCTTTTCAGAGCAAAAGATGATGTCACATCATGACATCATCATAGCACCACAGATTGGCAATGTTTGTGACATCATGACATCAACTAATATTTTCAATCAGTCAAAAATGAATTTATCTCTGAAGAAGCAGCACCCCACCATGTGAGCTGCAGATAGCTTCACTAGAGATGGCAGAAACATTGGAATCGACTGAGAAGAATGTCAAAGCAACTTACTGCCTACTTCTCCCGCATCAGCTAATTACATCTCGCAGGAAATCAGGTCCCCGATTGTAAAGCTTATTGCATTATCAAGTCTGCAACAGTCTTCTATCTTCAAATGTTACCAAGTATGTAACATGTTGCCTTTTCTTTTCTCTATCTCCATTATTGATACTCTATTTGTTACCTCTTCCTTTTTTTTTTTTCCAATATGTTTGCCTGCTTGACTACTGTATTGTAGTATTTCCACAAAAAGCTGAGTATGCACAGACATACTAAAATGTTTGTTGCTTGAGGTGTTCATGAAGAGGAAGGCCCCTTCCATCAAGCAGAAAATTGAAATTCTCAGGAAGGTGGACAATGCCCCAAGAAGAAACATTAACTTGGCCAAAAATATAGGTGTAGCATGATTGACACTCAACAAAATTGTTTTGCAGCGAAATGTCGACTTTAAGAATACCCAGTACTTCGGTCCAAATGTCAAGCAGGTGAAGCAGGCTCCCATATGGTGGAAGAGGTCCTGCTGATGCGATGTCACGAGATTGCAGCTGCTGGTGTCATCGTGGATGACAATGATACATTACGTAGAAAAGCAGACAATATTATGCCTTCCCTTAGAATGTACAATTTCCAAGCTTCAGATGGATGGCATCATTTTAAGAAAACTTAACTTGTCAACAGAAATATTGTCTGACTTGTCAACAGAAATATTGCCATGCTGTGTTGGTGGCAGAAAAAGGGAGCGTAGAAGTGAGTGGCTGCTGTGGACGAGTAAACAGTCGTTCGCCTCGAGTGCTTGGTTTCTCTCGCAACAGACTGGTGGAAATGTGAGGTACTGCGATGCCTTATGCCTGCTGGTCCTGAACCAGAAGCAAACAACACCAGTACACTAGGGTTTGATGATATGCATCAAAGCAGCCGCCGCCTTCAAGGACTACCACCCCAGTACGGCCCCTTGGAAGGTTCCGCGAGGACAATGTTTGCCACATCCACAAACCAAATTGCCCAGAACCCATTCGCTGGCTTACCCTGTGTCATTAACACGCCTCGAACGCCCGAACCATTCCACAGCGATGGCGGATTCCACAGCGATGGCAGTGAGGATGTGAAAGAGTGGCTCGAACATTTAGACTGGGTCGCGGCCATTAACGACTAGGACAATCGCCGTAAGTTGAAGAATGTCCGCATCTTTTTCTTAGACGCGGCAAGAGTGTGGTACAAGAATCATGAAGCTTCATTCACGAGTTGGCAAGAATTCCATGGGCAGCTTTTGAGGCCTTCAGTAATCCCGTGCAGAGAGAGAGAGTGAAGCGGGCACTTCTTTCGCGGTTTCAAATGCCCAACGAGAGCGTTGCTGCGTTTGGCGAGGCACCCTTCTGCCGCGGCCGCCGAAACGGAAGAAAGGCTGTCGCCTCACTTTGTGGAGATGAGGAGCAGTGCGAAAACGTCCTGCTGTTTTCATGTACTGGGCAGTGCGCGGTTGCAATTACTCGATGGAGCATTGCTGTCGTTGGTGCCGGCGCAAAGATGAAATGTGTAGTCTCTTCGTGCCCGAGAAAAAACTACAATGCCGAGTTTCCGCCGAAGACGGACATCAGACCACCACACTGTGCGTCCCTGACTGATGGGCCGACGATGCTCAAATCAGCACTAGATGTCAGGAATTTGCCCTCAGTAGCCTGGCCCGTGACCACCGTACAACAAGCATCGGCCCGAGCGGCGAGATTACAGACTCCTTAAACCCCGCTTACTGGAAGCAAGATTCGTCGGATGAGACAGCATCGCTGGACCATACACGTGTTTTGTTTGTGTATGTGTGTATGTTGCTGGGGGGGGGGGATGCCGGCATAATGACGTTCGTGTGTGCTGTGGGCCCTTTTATTGGACAATGCAGTCTGGACCTATTCCCCGATCTAGGGATTTGGGGAAATGAGAGTGTTTATAATTAGCCCTCGCGGGCTGCTTGTGGTGCTTGTTGAATGAAGAACATTTCAATGTAGAGCATTTTAATGTAGAGCTTCTGACCTAGGAGCTCTTGCCATGTAAATAATGTAAATAAACCCTCTCTTTAAGTCTACCTTCCTCTAGCCTCGACATCTTCGTCCCGGATCTTCGGCGCCTGCAAAGGCGGGTCACAACAGCGTCGCCATGTTTGTCAAAGAGATGTCGCAATTGTTTCGACGGGACGACACCCACATGCCAGAAGAAAAGAAGCTGCGCCTGTTAATGTGAGACGTAAAGGAGCAGTTTTTCGTGAGCCTTTAGCGTAACTCTCCTACGACAGTATCGAAGTTCATACATGAGGCCACAATTATGGAGTGCATGCTTCGGCAACGGTTGTCGCAGTATGACGGCCATGTTTGGTGCGTGTTCGCTTGTGCCAAAAGGTGATGGCAGGGAGATTCTCACAGAACTCATACGGCAGGTTTACACGAAGAACTCTAGGAATCTCACGGCGTGTCCTATCTGAGTATAGCTGCTCTTACCAACATCATTCGGAATGAAAT